TTTATTCTTATATATATATGTGAGAGTTGACTCTAAAACTCAGTTGCCTTTAAAAGGCAACTGGTTGATTCTAAAATTTGAAAGTCACATAGTCTACTCTTCAATTGGAAAGTCAACTGGCTTCCATATCGATTCGAACATTCCGCGTCGCATAGAAAAAACGAAACAGAGAGGTTGGTCACAAGCTGGGGAACCAAATTTCTTTATACAAAACCCAACCCAAATTGACTAAATGGATCCGACTGTTTATTACGGAAATAGAGTTTATCTTGGAAACATCAAGCGATGAAGAAAATGATTACAAGTAAAACCACGTTCGTCTGTTGGAGCGATTTAGATTTTGTCAAAATCTTAAGTAAAAGTCTATGAAATATCGTGTTTTGTTCATCTTTTTGTGAATCAGCTATTTTTTACTTCTTTCTTCTGTTTTTATTTACTGCACTATGCTCAACCACATGTTTTTAATTAGGGATTAAACACGGTATGCCCACAGAAGATGAGAGCCCGCTACTTCATAATTTTGTCCTAATGCAAAATCATGCACATCACATGTAACGACAGAATGTCTATCCAAAAGCTTGTAATACATGCTTCATATTATAGCAGGCTTTTTTCTGACTTTGATGTGTCAACAGGCTCGTTTTCTGACTGTCCATTAAGAAGAAAAAATAACAGGTCGGTCAAATAATTAGACCCCACACTAGAAGCCCGACATCGTCGTACGATGCACAACGAAAGCTCGCTTTCCTAAATTAGAAAGACAAGTTCATTTTATTGTTTCAACTCATTTGTGTAAGACCCTTTTTTCTTTTTTCTAAAAATTTTAGTAAAAAGCAAGAAAATCTAACAAAAAGCCATGTCATTTAATTTAAAAGAACGTTTTATTTGAATATAAGTTTGAATGAATTTACTTTTCGTCAGACCATCGGATGCGTTAACAGCAGCATAGTTTGTTTCCTCTTCAGCATACAGCATTTCGGTGTCTTAATAACAACAAAATCTGCCTTGTTAATATATTAATTCGACTAGCGTGAATAAGCTGTCACTAACTGGTGTGTATCTTTTACCGAGGATAACTATTATAACCCGTATGCTAAGTCAAAAATGTTTTATTTGAAAGGAAAACGTATTCATTTTTTTCCGAATTGAGGTTTTCGCAATAAGCGTTGTATTTAGCAAAATAATCTGATTTACCTTGCAATTCTTTCGTTAAAATATAAACATTTTTACTGTAACCGAGTAACAATGATTTAGCGATCAAACTCCAGAGACCAGATTCCGTCTTGCTGCTAATCGATATTCTTTTGATTGACTAAAGAATTGTTCTAACGACTTATATCTATCAATTGCTTGCTTTAGAATATGAGTCATTTTTGATAGTTTTTTCATTTTACGGATTTGTTCGAAGTGTAACACTGATTGCTTGCATCTTAGAATTGCATTCATTACATTCAAAAGTGTCATAAAATCTCCGAACATCTTTATACATCGTCGGTATGGAATTCAGAATAAAGGACGAGTCCAGTACACTTAATATAGATGCTAAAGATATCAAATCTTTACCGCAATTATACTCAGTTAGTGCCGCTAATACAGCTTTTGACATAGATACGCTACCGAATTCTGGTAGCTGACTTATTTTGACGCCTGTCGATGTCCAGTTTTCGTCCTAGTCTAAAATACCTGATTGACATAACTGTTGAACAGCTGCGTCTATTAACTGTTGATTTGGGAGATTGGGCAACCACTGTTTAATATAGTTCAAGCCTTGTTTTAATGGTGATTTTCTTAATGAAAACTCAACATTCACTAATTCTGTTAGACATATTTGTGGCGTCCGAAAGTTTTCCCTAGGTAATTGTAGGTCATATAAAGCATAATATTCGCCTTCTTGTGTTCTTCCTAAGCTGCCCATACGTTGTTTTATGGTGGACTCATCAGCTTGAAGGTGGACTCATCAGCTTGAATATGAGTTAATATTGTTTTACTACTTTCAGCATCGTAGACAAATAATGTATGAATGCCAGTATCAACAATATACTTCAATGATGGTTAAAGAAGTTTTAGCAATTTTTGTTGAAAAAAGTACTGTGCCAGTTTCTATATTCATTTTTAGTTCTTCTGTTGATTGTGCTGATAGTAAAGGCAATGCATTAATAGTCTCCTTAGATAATTTTGATAGCAATTAATTGATTGTGAAACATCTATTTCAGATTTAACAAAACATAATATTTGTTCTTCTGGTTTTAGTATACGATAGAGTCTTTGTACCAAATTTAATACATTTTCATCAGTTTTATGAATTTGAATTGGATACAATGTGGTTAAGGATGGTATTGTAAATTCACAGAAGTTTAATTCTTTCAACGTACGGTATAAGTGTATTATATTTGTATCTACTGTAGCTGATGATAAAATAATTTTTACTTTTGTATTTGTTTTAGACTTATTTGTTAATAAACGAGCTAACAATGCCAAGCACAAATCGATATCAATTGAACGTTCGTGTATTTCATCAATAAAGAAAATTATTCTGTTTTTCAAGTTTTTCTGTCTCAGCAGATGTGCTTCATTATGTAATATATAGTCTTTCAATAGATTGTCTGTTAAATATAACACATTGGCATTCGCATTTGATTGCTTATCTGATTTAATCCAACTGGCTACGTTAGCTATTTTGGTTTCAACGTGATGTGCCAATAATTCACACCATGAAGATCGTGGTTGTGCGACAAAAATTTTATCGTAACCATCTGCAAATCAATGCCGGAATCATAGTTGATTTTTCTGAACCAGCTGGTGTCAATAGAGTTAATACTGTATTTAAATGTATTTCTTGTAATAATTCTACTGAGAATTCATATAATGGTAATTTTAATTTAACGCAATTAATATGAACAACCAGTCTTTGTAAGATGCGAAATATTTCAAATCGTAACCGTTGTACCTTGATTGTGTTCTAAATAAAGTTTCTAACGTCTGAAAATGATATTCTAAAATAAAATTCAGATATTGAGTGGGTTTACTACTGATCAATATTGTTCACAGAAAAAAGTTATTACATACCTGAGGAGGGATATTTATACTTCTACTTGTACTTTTTAAGTGCAAAGTACAAATACTTGTACTTCAAAAATGTACTGGTACTTGTAATTGAGGTACGTTTCAAGTACGTTTTGTCCATTAATACTTTTTCGTATTTTCAAATAGTTCTGAAGTATTTTCTGATACATAGACTATTATTCTCGACGCAGAAACGATCCACTAACACTGTCTGCTTTCCACAAATGGTAGCGTCAAACATTCATTTTGCGCAAAGAGCAGTACTAGTAAAAACACTAATGCATAATTTTCAGAAAGTTAAAAAAGGCCACATTTGACCATTAATGGTGGCAGATGAGTCATCGCTCAGTCCTGATACAGCCTATCTATACGGTAAAACAAAATTTGATAATATTGAATAGGACATACAAAAAATGAATTTACTCAAATGGTTTTAGATTTCATTCCTGCGAAAAGCAAGCAAATCAAAGGAAAATTCAAACTCTGTAGTAAAGAACTACACGGGCCAAGAAGGTAATTTCACAAACCAGCATACCGAAGAGTATTCTAAACCAACGAAACATACAAATAGCAGTGAATGTCGAGCAGCGATGATGATGAGACAACAAACATCTCAGCAAGTAATAGTTAAGATAGCTGATTAATACGCATCGACCAGCAACAACAAATAAGATGCAACCTGTTGATGCCTGCAGTTGGTCTATAGCACCGCACCGGAGAGTACTTGAGAACTGCTTGAAAATAAGAAAAAGTATTAATGGACAAAAAGTACTTAAAGTACTTGAAATGTACTGCATGTGCAAGTACATTTTTGAAGTACAAGTAATTGTACTTGTACTTGTTCCTCCTCTGCCACATAACACAATTTAAATAAGCTAATTATGTATTCGATAAGAAAAAGATGCAGGGGAATGACTTTATTTTACATATCCTAAATGTGTGCATTCTTCACGTGAAATTTTAAGCTTTACATATTTAACTTTAGACGCAGCAGTGTAGATTTTATAGAAATAAATAACGTGAATCGCATCGATTCACTAAGTCCATTGCCTGTAAGTCGAATGAATGCACTGTCGGTATTATTATTCATTCTGTTGTAACTCGATCTTGTTACTACAGAATTGATGCATATTTTTTGCGATGAGAACGTCCA